TCTATGTTGTTTCTACCGTAAAACTTAAGAAAAAAGTTCATAGTTGTCTCGGAAAACTGATCTTGATAAGTAGTTCGAGATAGGAGAAGACCCGGAAATATCTCCGTGTACCTCTATTACAAGAATACGCGTATAAATATAGTTTTATGATTAGCAGTAACAGAGATAATGATTAAAGATACTAGAATATCTTTAAAATTAGTTTAATATATACCTTAGAGTAACAATAGCTTGCAGCAAAAATGCAGTACTCATATTTGACGAAAATATAATCTAGCAAACGTTTGACAAAATTTCTAGTTAATAACAAAATACAACTGATATCATCTCTACCCCACTTTGTATCAAAAAACATAAAGAATATTATAATGCTGAATATTTAATTCTATACAAATCTCAGATATTACGTATACTAATAGCTTTATTGATTAATTATATTACACTTCAAATAACTAAAACATTGGCATTTAGCTGAAACTAACTCCCACATACAATTTGGCAGTTGGGCTTTATAAAACATGACTATAATTTTATTATTGTTCATTCTTTGTGTAGTTACTGTAAAGCTGAGAGAATATTATTGCAAATTAGCAAGATTTAGTTAATTTGACTAACAAGAACAAATTCTCTGCGAATAATTTACGATGCTGTAGTAGTACAATAACAGTAATACAAGGCTTAAGACAATGATATACGAAATTACATCACCTAAATCCGATCCAAAACTAACTAAAATTTGTGAAATAGCAATTTCTCATAACGATCTCCTAGTAATTATGCAATAATTTACTTAAAAAGTTCAGCTCGTAAGACTATAAGACTAATAACCCAAACATATACATATACAAATATAAATATTGTATCTTATTGGATGTTTAATATCAGGTGAGTTACCTGCGGGAAAAATCAAAGTATTAAATGCAAGACTGTTGGAATGATACAAAAGAGAGCAGTTACTCTACTTACGTGTCTGTATTTGTTATTATAATATTCTTTTAGCATATTAATAACTTACCACTCGATATGTTTATGTACAATAGAATGCTATTCGTCATTAAAATATATATGGCATTAATATTTATAATGACTTATAGAGTCTGGTAAATAAAGAGAATAATGCATAAAAAGGTGATAGAAAAATCAAAATATTTCAAACATGTTACTCTTAGTAACCGAAGATTATCTGAATGTAATGGAACAGAAGCAGTCAAAATTTCACTTCCATTAGTGTAACTATGTCAATATGCTAAAGGTAATACTTAGGGTCGAATAGATCTTGTTGATACTTCCAAGTCCTAACTTTGAAAACATGTAAATAATACATATGGCACTCCGGTAAGTATGTAATTCAAGATCGAACAAACAGTTTGTTGACCACTAAAAATCTATATTACCGAGAATTACTTTTACTAATTACAGTAATGCTAAAATTCATTCAAGGAAACTGTTTTTGTTTTAATAAAACATACAGATTGTGGCATTTAATAAAAGACTAAACTTTTGAATTTAGTCAATCGCTCGCTTATCCTAGTCTCCCATATAAGGGAGTTATGGTAATAATGATGATGTAATTCTCAGCAAGTAATGAATATTTTTCCGCGCTTCGACTGGAGTTGATTGAGCATATACTTCATAGATAATTAAATATAAGCTATACTTTTAGATGCTTATTTTATGTTACAGAAAACGAGTTTCATAAGAAGCAGTACCGGCGATACCGGTATTTGAATAATTAAACCCTATCTCGTCGCAGAAGGTTTAAGATTGACATAGTAATTAAAAACCGGTATGGAGTAAGTTTTCTATAATAGCAGAAAGTAACTTGACAGTATGAGTAATACACCGACGCTTAAATGTTGATATCTCCCACTCACCCACCCACAACTAGAGAGTAAACTAGTTTGGTGAATGCTTAAACGATATGTAATACATATACTGCAGCTATTATTCTATTGTATCGAAAGTTCATCTAAAGCTGCTGTGCATAAAGAATAAGATATTCATGTTTTTAAACCTTGAAGAAAATGCTCATGCCATCTGATAGGCATATTCTCATTTAGCTTTTATAAAAAGTATCTGATTTATATGCGTACATTTAGCGATAAGATCGAGATTAAGATAGAAGTAGAATGAATTAATTAATTACTAATTAACACTAATTATCCTGTGATGCGATCATAACTTAAGATCTGTTACTAGCATATTTTAGTAGTTACTACCAACTCCTGTATGCCAAATCTTCTATATTCATATGATAAATTTTAAAGCGCGCTACAATGGACCAACAATATTTTCATTAATTTCCTTTATTATTGGTAGTTAGTGTAGACTAAATCTAAGCACTTCTATTGACATGATTAATTACTCTTAGACTACAATAGTACCAGGCGGCGATGTATTCGATAGCTTCTGATTGCCTTGACAAACACATTTTATCATTTTGACTGTAAATGCAAAACTTGCCCACTCCTACACATGATATCCTTAATCAGCGTTCCACCTAAAGGCACCTGTATTCAAATCGTTTTTAAACCGGATTTATAATTGAGATATTTTCATTTGGTTAATACTGGCAACAGGGCATTACGATAGATACGTTTGGGAATATGAATTAGACCATTTTGAAATCAGTAAATACCTGTCTAACAGGATACACACGTAGACGTAAAGTATTTACATCTAATAATTTGAAGACAATAGATAAATTTCAGGTCGTCGTGTAATGGGAATTTTTATTCAGTGTCACTGTAACATTCATTATAATTTCGGATATCGTTATAAAAATAAATATAGCAGGTTATTTTACCTCGAAATACTGTATAGCGCATCAAAATTAGAAGTGAAGAGGAAAATAAATAACTATTATAAAAGATGGTTAGCATTTTCCAAGTTAAAAATATCTATCATAGGAAGATTATCAATAATTTATTACAATAAGCTTTAGATGAGATCCAGTTTGATTAATTACGTATGCCGCATAAAGTATAAGCGATATTCTTTGTAAAATATTCCTACATCAACTTCAGTGAAGGATGAAAGGTGACAAAACTAAGATAGAATCATTTATTAGAAATAAGTGACAAGAAGATTGAGCCGCGTTTGAGAGACAAAGAGCAGGTATAGAAATTATGATAGAACTTAAATCATAATTGATTATACGGCTAATATACAGCACTTTCAAGCCGATGATGCAAATCGTGTATGAGTCTCATAAGAACGTAGGCAAATATATATTGTATAGCATAATGATATAATTTATAATGTTACAGGGAAATACGTGGTGTACGAGTATAGCTCATGCATCTATAACATGTGGAAATTCAGTAATATGAATAACTTCTATACTGCAGTATTGCTATATTAGGTAGTATTGGTAGTACTTTTTGTTCTGTTAATATACAGTATTCGATTTATTGTACTGCATTGGTATACAGATTGTAATTGCGTTATTAGTGTTCTGCTTGCACAGAATATCTATACAAAAAGAGTACCGTACGTATTATCTCTACCAATAACTTTTTGTATAAATAGAAACGTGCGATCTGGTATTCTACTCTTTATTCAAATCTAATTTAGGCAACAATGACACTATAACGAAATGATAACACACTCTTTCTGTGTTTATGATATTATACACATTGACCCCGCAAGATAATAAAACATATATTTAACTAGAAATAACTTTAATCGAATATCTAATGTTCAAGATAAGCAAATGCTTCTGTTCATATGATGGATATTCTCAGTTATAGAGATGTAAGTGCTTTATACATATTTAAGTCATATTCTTCAACTTAAAGTTGGCATAAGGCGCATCTTTACCTAGTATATAAACAGTCCTTGATATCACTATCAACGATTTATCGCTATGAGGTAATGTTCCCAAAGGAATAACTGTTTAGTTAAATATCATTAATCAAAAATTTTACCCAAGTCAATAATGTTGACAGGCATAAAACGCATAAATATGAAGTTTTTAAAAGTGAATAATCGAGATTAAGAAGCAGCACAGCTTTCAAGTGTATCGAATAATCCTTATATACTTATTTTGCATTCAGTCATATGCTAGCATGTACGGCACGATGGATTTGCGCAGATTTCGATACTTACTAAAATGAGGAAAACTCTAATCCAAGACGCGATCGCGAATGTGTTGTCTCATCAACACAACGTACATTTCTAATTTTTACACTTTGGTAAATTTGTAAATAAACAAGAAAATAATACATCGCCTTTGATATGGTATACTACTATTTACTAGTTAAGTTCAACATCGGTATCCGACAGAAAATATTTCCTAAGCCATCCAATCTATCGAATTGAAAATTTCCCCTGATTAAGAAATAGAGATAGAAGAACATCGAATGAAAAGTTGATTTAAAAGCATCAAGATTCTTCATGTATGAAAAGTCAATTCTTAAGAATACAGTAATCTAGGATAAAAAATAGAGTGTAGTACAATACTATTTGAAAAACCGTTACAGTCATCATAACAGTACTTTAATTATTACCACATGTGCCCACTAGATGACTTCAAAGAAATATGGCTACTATACTGGAATGCCGGCTCTTGCTTATTAAGTACTGGCATCTATGAGGAAATTGAAAATAACGCAGAGAATTGATTTATTCCATTCAATATAGCAAGGTAGTATAACTAATCTATTTCTTGTTATTGTTACGTAAAGCTAAAAAAGGATTAAAGTAGCGATTATAGCATACCATCCCAACAACACCACGTCCGTGTACTTCTTCTAAATTATTACCGCTTCGTATAATCCAATGGCGATTAATCAATCTAACAGGGATAGTCCCTAGATTTTCAATTCTCACGCAGTACCTCCACTGTAAACATTTCTTATAATTAGAATGCTATCGAGAATATCATCAGGGTTATGAGTATCCATTAACGATCTTACCCAATAATAGTGTACATCTTCCTCTTTGGTAACAAAATTCTATTAAATATAATGTAAAAATTGCGATTGATAACTTTTTACGTTATCTTCCCTATTCATCTATGCAGTGTAACGCATAATTCATTTAATCACTACTATTTATACCTTCTGTTTACAATAAATATATACAAGATAGATAACATACTAATTAGGACAAAGAATCAGTTAAATATAGGATTAAATCAATCAAGTAGCACAGCATTACCCTAGATCCCATATAGAATGGTAATACAGTAACTCGTAGATCGTTAGTGACGCAACGGTAAACAGCTGACAATTCCAAAAAATGATGATTTTTGTCGTGCCATGATTTCAGGGACTCTCTTGGATTGAAAGATATCGAACCTATAATGAATGTTTAGATGCTCTTCAACTATATAATCACACTTGGAAAAACTTCAAGACAGTTAAAATGACATATTTGTAGCATTTCAATTGATAAATATTCTTTAATTTATGTTCTATAGTACAAAGATAGTATAAATTTTGGGATATAAACGATAACTTACCATTTCTTTCATCAACTTCAAAAAATTTATTGAAAAAGTTATGTTTAATTGGTTGCTTATCCACAGTTTTATAAGGTAGGACGTCATCGTGACTTAAGTAATCGAATCCTATAAAACAAGACATAACATTGTCAACAAATGAGTATTTATAGTAAAAATATTCGCAGTTAGCGCACAGTCAATAACGGAATTGATTTAATCTTCTTAATTAGTAATAAAGATGCCATAGTTTGATTTATTAATATAAGGTTGGAGGAGTAAAGCAAGGGCATAATAAATAATTAGCAAACCTGGTAAAGAATATAGCGGTTCTTCTGCACTATTTCCTAGGAACGTAATACTGTCACGTTGCATTTTCTAGATAAGATAATACAATTATAAGTTCTTCTTGGAAGTAATATACTATAAAAATGCCTCATATAACTAGACATAGTGGTACGCAAGCAAACTTTTGTGTAGTGTCAATAAATGTGACAATTTACTTACAACATGAGGGGCATCTCGTTGGTCAACTAGAACTTGATAATAAATTGCTTTTTCAGGTTGATGATCTCCTTCCTTTTCTTTAGTATGACTAGATTGGAAAAGATGGTCAATTAGCTTAGCTAAGATTTATCGTTAAGAAAATTACATATTATTCTAGTTATATAAAGATTACGCATATTGAGCTAGACTAAGACAGTATGATGTAAATTATAGTTATACCCTACTATAATAAACTTCAATATATACATGCCCGGCACTAATATAATGTTGAACTAACACAATATTTTCTTCATCTCTATCATATAAGTTAGCTGGCCATCGATATAACACGACACCACGATAGCCAAAGAACCGATGAAGGAACAACTGATGAAGAAATCATAGATAATTTCAGTTAGCAGTAAATAAGATTGTCAAGTGTAGGAAATAGTACGCGTATTTGCAGTACTTTTAGGACGACTAATAATGAAGTTCATATTCGCAAAGATAAATTTTGTTAAACGATCGATTTGTATTAATAATTTACTGTACTACTTTAGCGTAATTAAGATTAACTTACTTGTCCAGGTTGATAATGGTCATCGACCTTTGGTGATGTTAAAACCCCTACAGTAGCTAATCTGTGCAAAGCAAATTGATTTTTGTAATCATCTCAGAGAGAATAAATTTGACTGCTATATTAATTGAAGATAATTTGCAAATTTTTAGATTTGTAAAGTGATAGAAAGCGACATTACTTGCATCTAGGTAACATTTTATTAGAATGCATTTAAAGCAATAAATTATGACATTATCCTGCAATTTGCAGTATATTATCGGCCAGAGAAAGTATTTATTATCTAATTATAAATTAAAAGGAACTAGAAAGTAGTAAGGGTAGCTTTGGATAAAGCTGAGCTAAACAGATCTCACTCGAATAAATATTATAATCTTATTGGTCAATGAAATAAAACGGACCCCGTGTTTATAGTTATTTCGTAAAGCATGCAGTAAAGGAATACCTCATGAATTACCTAGGAAATTTGGTTTCAATAAGCATAGTAACTAATTTCCAAACTGGCCATTGCTGATGGTAATGCACTACAGTAATATTGGCTTCCTACTTAACCTATGCAAACGCCAGCAAGACGAGATAATCATTTCAATATTGCTAGTAGAAAAATAGCATGCAGAAGTCTACCACCAGGATTTACTAAGTGTATCCTTGACACTTGGTAATTGCACGACATGACAGCATGATCGTCGATAACGATTGTAACGTAGTCACTACTAAATTTCTTTTCTCAATTCTTGGCCTACAAATATTGCTAATCTATATCATTTCATCTAAATTATGCAATACAGTCTACACAATTGCAAAGGACACAATGTAAAAAGAATCGAGATAATCCCGACATAGAATGTAGCGTTGAATGGATACGATGACTCAACACCTGGCACAGTGATCGAAATATGCATGAAATGTAGCTATCCTATTCTTGTACAGTGGAATAAAATATCTGGAAACAAGTATAGGCTTACTTATGCATCCTCTTTCGACATAGACGAGAAGCAGGCAATAGCGTTCCTTTTGCATTCAACATTACTGTTGAAGGACGTAGAAGGCGAAGCAACGCCATCTTGATTCCACTGGTGTCTTCGTCGAGCGTCCTGGTAGCGCTTGAAGAGTGCACGGTACTGTACCTGTACTGTACAGTCCTAATCTACAGTGCTTAATGTATGATCTACGACAGGACATTATACTGTATAGTACAATATTATAGTGTACAGTATTGTCGCCATGACGTGTTCTTGTCCATTCCCTGTATCACATGCTGTACAGTGTACAGTACACCGAGTGAGTGTACAGTACTGTACACTGTAGTCTCCTACAGTCTATATACTGTACACTGTACACTGTACAGGACTGCAGTATTTAATATTACAGTATGAATATATTATTTTCGATGGCAGCCAGTTGTTCAAAAATGAAAGTTGTATTCCGTTGAAATTCCTGTATAATATTTATAGGTACCCGTAGAACGGCATTTGTGAGTTATTAGGCTACGATTACATATAGAATTGACCTAGTTTTGGCTTCATTTAACTTGCAGAATTTTATTTTTTCAGGGTGCCATTGTATTAATCAGACTCTCGACGTACAGTACATTATGGTACAGCACCTGTATATTGCAACAATTGTGTGGAAAAACTTGGACTATGCCAATTATGTAGATTGATAAAGATCCTCAGTGTCTTATACTGTACTGTATATGGGAATATTGGCTATTATACCTTGCATGCTACTAGCAAGACTATGGATGTTATGGTAGTAAAGCCAATTCTTACAGGATCCACAATAAATCAGTCTAACTGGATTTAAAAACCGAATTAAGCTTTATTACAATAAAACCAACCGTAACTTCATTTACAACAAACTAGGAAAAAGAAGACCTCGCGATCTTCTCGTTACATACCCTGTTAAATCCTATTAACAACAGTATTCTGATACTTATGTTTGCAACTCCTACTTATTCCGTGACTGTTCTTACAATAAATTCCACAAACTTATCTACTTTCGTTGCTTATTGAGCCCCAAAACGGTACGCAGTACTTCGTTCAAAAATCAAAGTTTATATTCCGTTGAAATTCATGTGTAATAATATTTAAAGTTATTTATATATACTGTATGCCCATAGAAGCATTCAGTACAGTGCGGTACTTGTACAAATGTACACTATAACGATATCCAGCTTCTTCGTTCAAAAATTAAAGTTATATTCCGTTGAAATTCATGTGTAATAATATTTAAAATTACTTATATATGAATGCTGTATGCCCGTAGAAGCATTCAGTACGGTACAGTACTTGTACAATGTATACTATAGCGATATCCAGTTTCTTCGTTCAAATATCAAAGTTATATTCCGTTGAAATTCATGCGTAATAATATATTAACCTTAAGTTGCAGCTACTAGCTTGATTAATTAATGTTAATACCGTAATATGCACTTGTGATATAACCGATCTCAAAATTTCAAAATCGTAGAAAATTAGAGCTTTATTCGTATCTTTATACGCGTACAAAGGTAGTTTGCATACAGCTCAACCCTAGCTGGAGTACAGTACAATCACTGCAAAGATTTTTTGACGCAACTACTGCATAATCTAAAGTTATATATATATACTTTTCATAACGTTTCCAGCTACGATCAGCTCAGTAATATTCTAAGTTATTTTACATTTATTCTCATCAGTAACAACAGTACTTTATAGCGGACCATCTACATTATAATTCGATAGAGCAACAGCTACAGTATTTACGTAGAATTTATTTCTCCAGCTAAAGCAATGTATGAGTTACATATCTATTTTACCTCTAGCATCAATAGCGACTTGACAACCTACTGTATGTGGTCATTTGTACTTTAACATAGAATAGTCCACGACAGTCTACAGCTATGAGCTACTACGAAATATACCTTTAGATAATTATCGAAAACCACACAATGGTGCCGTACATCATACTAACATGGCTAATAATAATGATAAAAACTCGTAAAATCTACGATCCAATACTAAGGAAGTTTACAGCACTTTACAACACAATGAGCGTGATAAACTGTCTCAAAAATATTACGATTAGGTCTTGGCTTATTTTGCTAACTTAACTTTACTAGATGAATTAGTTCTTCACCAGGAGCTATCTGCATAATTATCTATAGTAACAACATAATATAGCAATTTTACAATATATCATTACAATCCAATTACTATCAAGTGACTTATAACAATGGCAAAATTCCTATTTTCTATCTGGTATTCGGTAGATAACATACCTTAAAATTCACTGATAATACTGTATAATGATCTGAAATTCATCAATACATGTATAGATAACAGCATGTTTTATTTTACACCTCAGTAATAGCCACTAAAATCTACTTACTTGTACCATAAATTAGTTCATTTTCTAATAAAAAATTTAGGGTTTCATAGATTGATCTAAGACAGATATGCACAATTACTGTTGCGATAGTAAATTCCTAATATTTAAATTGTATTATAACTAAATGACGAAAGGGCAGACTGGATGATAGACTCGTAGTCTTAATTTCTCCGCTGTAAGTATTGGGCTGTAATTTATTAACCTACAAACACGATGTAAACTAAGTTGTACTAGAACAAGTGTCGAGCGTGTAGGTAGCAGTATTACGACCGCCTTTGTTAGCAGTCATATTAAGGCTACAGTAAAAAGCTACTGGCTGGATTCATACACAGTATAGCTTAACAATAGACGGTTGATTAATAGTGATTAATGATGTTACTAAGGATGATGGCTGTATTACTGGCACTACAAATATTATTATTGTCGATATATCGTAGGATATCATTAAATCTTTACTGTATGAGATGAATTTGAATGGCCAATACTTTGCATCGATGAATAGAATCTAAAACTATAAGTTAAATGAAAAATTTTCAAAGATTTTGAAATACTCATACTGCAATCATAAGTACAGAAGTTAATAAATATCTCTGAAAACGTTCATATGTGCGCTAATATAATACATATACGCAATGATCTAGAAACAATATTGAGCATATTTATGTTATAATTATGATTAGAAACAGAAAATTATTAAAAGAGCTCAGCTATCTTGAAATACGTGACTATAAATAGATAGGTACAAAATTACTAGTGCTATCTTTAAAACCATATACAATAAGTCTATCATTTTGCCTTTGATGACAGTTGCTAGAATAACAAATTGTAAAATTTTGTTACTCTGAACCTAACTGAACTATACTATTTGGTAAGACTATTTGTGTTATCGCCAAAAATAGACGTATAAATATCATCTTCAGCTAAAGGTAATACTTCAGCCATTATAATTATATTTCTACTGTGACAATCCCTATTGTGCGCATTTTACATTTTCAAAATAATCACTCATAGAACTAATATAATACCGTATAAGCTAACAAAAAGTAAGAAATATTTGATATATTCATATTAAAGACTCTTTAATTTATCAGTTAACTGATCGATTGGCTAGTTAAAACTAAATATACAAGGGTGCTTCAAACAATTAAAGCTGTTAACGGCAAATTTCGAATCATATTTCATTTCAATGCCAGCCGAAAACACGAATAATATTACACTGATATAAAGAACGCCTTATCGTAGCTTACATAATATTCTTACCTGTAATATTATTATGTTATCGTAACTACAGGCAATTAAGAACAGAAGAATCATAAAATCTTACTAGTAATGGCGATATTTTAATGAAATCATAATATTAAATCAAAATGATAACCAGATTTACTAATTTCTAACTACAACGTAGTGATACGTAATTTGTACTTTGCTTTTTCACTAGGCTTTATTTGTCTTGGATGAAAGCGGGTTCTTTCAGTTCTCCCTTTTAGTATCAATATTAGCAATTCCAGTCTGTATTAATCCTTAATAATTTTTAACTAATTACTGCACCTTATCACGAGCTCTACCTTCGACGATATCATTAATTATACGAAACTAAGATAACCAGCATGAATTTGATGAAGTAAAATAAATTGGATATTACTATGTATTAATAAAAAGAAATTTTTATTATTTAATTAGAGTGTAGCAATATTAATAGTAAGCATAAAAGTTAAATTGTTTAAAATTCTGATAAGTCTTGCAAAACAATCGGCTAATTGAAATCTATTTTGACAGGAGATGGCATCAATAAGTTATGATTGATATTTAGATAGGTAAATGTTTGTGTCTAATTTTTAATATATTATGGTCGCTTATTGATATTTCTATTCCTTTTATACTTGTATACTACCAGCAGGAGTCCATTCTCGTCACAAAATACCTGTGGCTTATTAGTGATACAAGTTTATAATTTACCTTAAAGTTATGAAAAATCAGCAAGCAGTAATAAATATTGTCAAAAAATAGATATATTTAATAACCATATCTCATCATCAAGTCCGATGTAATTAGTAGATTAAAGTAGATATATTTAAAAATAAACAATTAAAATGTCATGACAGTTTATGAATCATTAGCAACTATTGACTACTAACAATTCTTAATTTTCCAGGCATAAAGGCTTTATTTGCACCTGTAAATGAAAAAAATTTAAATAATACTTTATGAAAATAACCTACTATAATCTATGCTATACAATTAAAAGGTAAATTGGAAATAAATTGTTACAATATCATTAAAGTCCTATTTCATCTGTCTAATTGCAATTCTAGCTATTAAATAATTTTAAAATGATATTTTCATCAATTATTAATTCAAATTCAACATTCAGTCTTTGATCTCATAGTTACAATAAAGTTTTATTAGAAACCGTTCTAATTTATCAGTTCCTTCCTATCATAAATATATTATGTGCTTTTTAATCGTAAAAGATAATTTTTAGACACGATATTGCCGCTTCTTAATTTAATTATCCTACTGATGTTCAATATTGAATTCCTCCTAGTATAAAATTTTTCGTCCCTCTGCTTGAATGAAGAAAATAGCTGTTTTTTGTAATCTTATAAGGAATCTTCCTTAATACATTCGGTGAAAAGTAATTAATATGGACAGCATATTACTATGTTTAATAAATATATATAATTAAATAGC